ATGTTTTGTCTCCTGCAGAAGACAAGAGACCAAACATGTTTTGTCTCTCAGTGTTGCACTGTGGAACGAGGCCGAGCCTTTACAGACAGCAGCCACAAGAGGGCGCACTAAACTGAAACTGGCACCAAACTATCTTGCAATTAGGACAAAATCTATAAAACTTTGGTTTTTAAAGTCACAGTGAAAAATAAAAGTCGCACTAACATTGCAAAATTGATATCAACATAATAAAAGATTTACGACTTAAATAATTACATTTTCAAAGAGAAAGAAAAAAGTCACCAACATCGTCCTTACACTGCTTACCCTGGCATGCATGGAGGCAGAGTGAGGAAGAGGAAGGTCCCAGAGCGCAATGACATCATTTCTGCCTTTGACACTTTTCAAAATAAAGGACAACATAAAATTCACAAACTTTGATTCAGCCTTTGTTTCTACAGTTAGTCCCATTGATCCTCGAGGACTCTTTAAAGAGAGACCTGATTTAACAAAGACAGACAACAACAACAACAACAATCATTATACAAACATATTTTTAATACAGAAAAGTGAACAAATACTTGGGAGTTCATTTTATAACTCCATTACATCATAATCTAGTTGTACACTAGTTTCAGGGCGTGTACACGATGAGTAGTTTTTAAAATCTCAAATATTTGAACGTTGTCGTTCAAACACCCACAAATAATCAGAAAATCCCACGAAGCATGCAACACCTCGCACACTTTCCATCAACCCCCCAGCCATGACTGTTGTTATACACCACCCGACTGTTCAAAGTTAATCTGTGCACTTCTGTGTGCTGTTTAGGTCAGCAGGTCCTGGGTCTGGTGGAGAACCAGAGTGACTGGTACCTGGGGAACCTGTGGAAGAACCACCGACCCTGGCCAGCTCTGGGCCGAGGCTTCAACACGGGTGAGTTCATCGTCTGGTTCTGGTCGGGCTCATGACAGAAACACATTCAACGCTCAAGAACTCCAGGTGGACCCATTTCCAACAGGAAGGACCTTCTCAACGTGGCTTCCATCTTGTAAATGTCGTGTTCACGCCAACACTTTCATCTCAACCGTTACTCGTCCGTCAGTAGAACACGGACCTCTGGGGGACTTGTGGTTTGAGTTGTTTTGAGATGGTGCTCAGGCATCAGCTCATCGGTGCTCCAGAATTAAACCAAACTGCAGTCGTTTAAACATCTGTCTACGAAAAGTACGACCCCTGAACTAGTGACCACACGGAGGGACGAGTCAACGCTTCCATCATGGTCACGATCGTACAAACCATACACTGGACTGGAGCGGGTCACGGACTGCTGTACGTTTATCCATCCATCCATCTGTCCATCCATCTGTCATTCATCGATCCATCCATCCATCTGTCCATCCATCTGTCATTCATCCATCCATCCATCAATCCATCTGTCCATCTGTCCATCCATCTGTCATTCATCGATCCATCCATCCATCTGTCATTCATCGATCCATCCATCCATCTGTCCATCCA